ACCCCCCCGCGGCCTCGTCGGGAAGTCGTTTGAGCCCAGGCCGCGTTCAGTCCCCGGGCTCGGCAGGTTCTCTCTTTAAAAATAGCGGTGTTTGCGCTTCCTGCTCTGGCGTGGTGGCTCTTCGGGCTCAAAGTGCGAACCGTGCGGCAACGTGTTGTTCATACCCGTGTTGTTCCCCTGGTTCTTGTGGCGTTGCTGGTCAAAAGTGGTTCTTTCAGTGCTTTTCTATAAAAATCGACCCTGTAAATTTTGATCTTTAATCTCGGTAGCCACCTACAGAGTTCATCTCTTAGATAAGCTCTTTGTCCCTTTCCTGCTCCTAGTCCTTACTTGAATTTATGCCAATGTGTAGTCCAGATAAACCTCTAAACTCCTGCTTTGGTAAGTTTTTCAGAAACCATAATCAGGAAAGAAAAGGAGACAGGTTTTTTTTTTGTCCTAAAGAGATGTTTAGGATATTGGATATGCCATACATTTTTAACGAGCCCAGAGAGATCACAGAGAGTCTCTTTAATTGCTTTTGCTGACCTCGGATGTGATGATACCCTTGTGGGAAGCTCTCTCTGGATCATATTTGTGTTGTATTGGCCTTCTTCAGGTTTCAGATGAACTCTTCTCAGGGTTGGAAGGTAGATCACTTGTTCTTGAGACTTCTCCAGGGTAGAAGGCCTTGAGTTGACTTACATTGCAATAATGAGGAAAATACTGTTCAGAGTAAAAGGCTGAGCATAGAAATCCTTTAAACGTGTTAAACATTCATCAGTGTTTAAGGCAAATCCAGCTTTCTGTAAGCTTGTTAATAGAGGATATGTTACCTTTCATCAAGGCACTGAATTCAAAGTTGTGGATGCACTTTGCAAGTTCTGTGGCTGTACTGAAAGACCATGTTTAAGGATTACCAGACACAGGGAATCTGTCCTACAGGTCCACAGAGGATGAGTGCAGACACTTAATGCTGGCTGCTGCTTTTAGGAATTATTTTCATCCACTGGGCTCGAAAAACCTGCATCTTCTAGGAGGTAGAGAGTTGAGATACATTAGCACTGACTGTTTTCTTCATGGTTTTACATAACACTGTGGGAAATATATACAAGAAAAAGTCAAACACAATTATTTGAGATGCTCATAAATTAACCTTCTTCAATCACTTACATGTAAAGCAAGGCAAATATGACCTAGGAACTGCAGTAGGGTTAGTCTGATCATTTGCAGTCATTATTAACTGGTGTCTTTAATCAGTTTCTGAAAGTTGGAATGTAAGATACGGGATAAAATATAAAACATTCACAAATCAGGTGGCAACAGATATGCACCAGTTCCTTCGGGGTTATGTGGAAGAGATCCGGTCTGATTTGTGTGCTTTAAGGTTAGTTTAGATTTTAGTTCCCATTTACCCGTTTACATTTTCATTGACCATTTTGCTCTCCTGTAGCACTGAACTTATTGGAAAAAAAAAAGAACAAAAATACACCCATTTATGTTATCTCCAGTATCTATTCCAACCACTTCCAGATGGTTTTGCAGGTATGTTGGTGCTATGCAAGTCACTCAAATACATTAATACTTCCAAGAACTGGGGACAAGGAGTTGCCACTGCTGGTAGCATCTGAACAGGCTTAAAATCTCTCCTTGCTTGCTTTTTTTCCCCCACATTTACACACGGTTTAAGAGTGTGTTATTGTTATTTATTTCAGTACTCTTTCTCTTTGCTTTGGTGCTCTTCTGACATTTGGGTTTTTCAGTCAGGCTGCTGGTCTTGCTTTTGGCTTGAGATACTGGTAGCAAATGGAGGAGAGGGCATTGACTGTAAGAAATCCTGTCTACCCATAATCAAGGCTGATCTTTTTAGTCTGGTTCACTGATATTTCCTTTAGCTTGACCAAAGCTTGTTGTATTGAAATTAAGAGCCTTATTAAATGGCCAGCTGGTGGTCAGTGAGTAACTGCTGGCTGTTTAGTGTAGTTCTATGACCCTCCTTACAATACAGTTGCTTCCTATGAGGAATGGAAGGTGAGATTTCTGGAAGACTCCGGTTGAAGTGGCAGATCAAGTAAGACCAATTGCAAGAACTGATCCTGACTGATCTCCAGCAAGCAAATCCTCTAGGATAGGCTTCAGTGAAGTGCAGGAGAGTGGAGCTTTGTACATCACTGGTAGCACAGTATGTACAGACCAACTGATGTTCCCATCAAGTTTTCCTCAGGTTAAAAAAGGAGGGAGAAATTCTGCTGGAAATAAATGCTATTGTACTGCAGTTTTATCTTGGAAACTTGGTTGGGAAATGGTGCCGAGTGCTCTGTTGCAACAACCAAAATACTTTGCCGTAAGATAGGGTATAATCTAAGTGCTCCATGGCAACGTTGCTTCCAACTATTGTCCTACAACCTTGTCATCTACTTGCGTGTCTCCTTAATGTGGAAAACATCTGTGGTGAGAACAGCAGCAGGACAATCCCTGGCAGTGACACAGCGTCCTCTGCTAACTCCATGTCAGACTTCTCGACCACTTAACAAACAAACTACTCCATTAAAAGCATAAAATAAAGAGAAATAATGAAGATTTGCCAGTGAAATTCTAACTCGTGTTCGCTCTGGTACACGCAGAGAGATGAAGAACCGAGGGCTTTGTTCATAACGTGCAGACTCCAAGAAAAGGACAAAACAAAACATGACATCTTTTTTTTTCCTGGTTTTTGTCTAGGGCCATCAGGATGGCTGCCACCTCCCAGTTTGCCAATCGGTACAAGAAGGATCTGAGTATAGAAACACTCAGAACGAAAGTTGCTCGCAGGAAGTCGATGCTTCAGAAGGAGAACAGGCACAAGTTGTTTGAAAAGGGCAGGCACTTTGGGTTGGCAGATGTCAATGTTCAGCTGTCCAAAGAGAAGGGAATAGCTCACCTAAATGAGACAAGTGAAACAGCTTCTCAAGAGAAGAGCAGTGTAAAACAGAGTGAGTAAAGATTTGTTATAAACCTTTGTTTTGATTTGATAAAAGTGTCTTAATGTTAATGTAGAACATCAACAGGAACCAAATTGTGTTCAACCTTTTAATCTGAAGAAAAGGTTTAAGGTATAAAAACCAATGACTACCAGTGCTTAATAGAACTTTATCCTCCTTGCTTTTTCAATGGCATGAATGAGGCTTTTCTCTGATCAGTCTGCAGCAGCTAAAGGAAGAATATATTTTGCCCTGAATATTCATTGGGAAGTCTCTTCAAGATGGATTTGTCATTCCAGAAGTGAAAAACCCTGGTCTAAAATCTCATCTAACATATAACTGGTATCTGTCATGTGGTTAAAGTGTGTTTAGAAATGGACAATTGTATATTTTAATTGGATATATATAATTATAAATGGATACATGCATGGTATAATTGTATTTTTTAATTGCTAATTTTTTTATGACTTCTCTTTCCTCCCTGACTCTCCTGGATTCTTATGGCTTAGGGAATTAATCTTTAAAAATGTTAACAGATTTATTTAGAAATATTTTCTCTTTCAGTTTTTTGGTAGCAGAAGATCATTGGAGGAAGGAGTGCAATGTCTATGGAATAATATAAAATATTAAATTAAAAAAAAATCTTTGTGATCTTCAATTTTTATCTTTAAGCAGTTATTAATTTTTCAGATAGACATGTAATTAAAGCTTGGTTTTACTCTTTCATATAAGTTCTGCTTCATTTATTGTCAGCCTGAGGCAGACTTCAGTATCTAAATCTAACCTAAACCTCAGCTTTCAATGACATTACAAATGTTTGAATAGGGAAACTGGTACAAATAAACTAAATAAGTGTTAACTTTAATATTAGTAGCCTTGCAGGAACAGCCTGTACAATGTAAAATGGATATGAATTCACAGTGACCCTCAGGTACAGAGGTGGGAAGGTGTGTTTGCAAGCTGAAATTTACCAGGACATCCTCTCTTAGTGGGAAGGATTAAGACAAGAGAATTAAAACTTTTAGCAAGCTGATAGATCACATGTATTTGCATAGTAAGACTTCAATTAAAACTTGCACCCACAGAGACATACAATCTCCTGCTCTCTGACTTGGTACGTTCCTCTTCTATCCTAGAATGTCTTGAAATTTTTGGACTTATTGCTGAAAGACCTCTCCAAGATTTTCTAATACATCTGTCTCCCATCTTTGCTTCAGAACAATCTACAGATGCAGCCACCAAGAGGGTTAATGAACGCAGGGAGATGCTCCAGCGCTATAAAGAGGAAAAGGAACTGAGGAAAATGAGAGAGCAAAGAGAGAAAGAAAAAAAGGGTGTGTTTAAAGTTGGGTTGTACAAACCAGCTGCTCCTGGATTCCTTCCTGTGGTACCGGAGAATCCAGTGACAGTGAAGCCAAGAGAGAAGGTAATAAGAGTAATATTAAATATCTAAATGAAGTATATGTATGAAGTGTGTTTATTAACATTTCTATTTGTATACACAGTTATGTGTATGTTATGCCAAATAAGCAGCTTGTAAATACCTTATAGAGATTTATTAAAAAAGAGCTACAAGGCTGTAATTTAGCCAATTTCCAAGCTGGAAATAGTACTGGTCATATGTTGATGTTTGTGTTTATGACTGTGTTCTCAGTTCAAAAACTAGAATGATTTGTCCACCAATGAAATAGTTATTTTAGAATGGGTAACTTGTTCCCATTGACTTTGAAAGCTTTTCAAATTATACTTTTGACCCATTCTGCACAGGCATGTTGCTTTTCACACCTAGGCCTTTTGTCCAGTCTTAAGTGATGAGGGTCAAAAGGAGGAGTATGTTAACTCTTGTTTCCTTGGGAATGTTTCCAGGCAGCTCCTGCTTTCTCAGGGAGGATTACTCGATCAAAGGCCAAGAACCAAGAAGAAAAATCTGTGATACCAGCTGCATCCAAGCACCCCACGGTTTGTTTTCTTTATAAACTTCAGTGAATATATTTAAAGAAGAGGATGCAATGATCCTTCAGCCCATAACTCAGGCTTGTTTGCTTACAAGTTGAGTGCTACCTCTAAGGAGGTTTTCCTTGTGAGAAAGACAAATTAGATCAGAAAATCTTTTAGCAAGCCAGTAGACATGCTGGTTTGAGCATTGGGCTGAACTGAGCTACAAAGATTTGTATTGAGTCTGTACAAATAGAGGGAAGTGCATATAACTTCTGGATTAATTTTTCAACACAAATTGTTGTAGTCAGCAAGGACCACAAAGATGTGTAAAGATAGTCATGAGACTGAAGTTACCTACTTTGGTTTTGGCTTGGAGAGCCAGTGCATCTCCCTTGAATGCAGAAAGTCTGTCAGGAATGCAGATCATAAAGAGATGGCTCATTCTTGACTCAAAAATCCCTCCAGTGTTGGCATATTTGTACTGTGAGTCTTGGCAGCCCCTTCTGCTGTTACTTGTATAAAACAGTAGGTGTTTTTCAGGAGTGTCACCAGCAGTAATCTGTAAAAGAAGCTATATTTTGAATCTAGCAATCTTGCCTTACAAAACTTGAATGAATTTGAAGGATTTCCAGTCATAACTTTACAAACTTTACAACTGAATTCTTGATATTTTCTGAAAAAAAAATACTTAAAACATAATGTGAACCAAGATGCAGCAGTAATTGACACCTAGTTTCACAGTGAACTGACTCTTTTTAAAATATTCTTTTTCTGACAATTTCTTTGCTGAATATTGCATGTTAACATGTCTAAAATGGGCTATTTTAGTTATCCTTAATTTCTCTCTTTGTAAAGCTCTTTGTGCCTGATTACTTGACCATTTGACCTTGAAGGGACCTTATTAATGTCTATAAATATCTGAGGGATGGTGTCAAGGAGGAGGGGCCAGTCTCTTTTCAGTGGTGCCCTGTGATAGGACAAGGGGCAATGGATGCAAACTGGAACACACAAAGTTCCACCTCAACATGAGGAAAAACGTCTTTACTGTGAGGGTGACAGAGCCCTGGCTGCCCAGAGAGGTGGTGGAGTCTCCTTCTCTGGAGACTTTCAAGACCCATCTGCACACTTTCCTGTGTGACCTGCTCTAGAGGATCCTTCTCTAACAGGGGTTTTGAACTCAATGATTTCCAGAGGTCCCTTCCAATCCCTACCATTCTGTATGATTTGTTTTACTGGCACCTAGGACAGATGAAGGAAATGAGGCTACTTCATTTCTGGAAGTCTGATGCTTCACAAAAAGCAATTTTCTCTTGTAGGTCTGTGACAAGGGGCAATGCGTGCACCCTACACGAGCAGGACGTAAACAGATGGGTACAGACAAAGCAGCTGAAAAAGGGAAAGGTATGAAAGTAGAATGATCCCTACATCTGAATCTGAAAGGTCACTGCTTTCTTGTTTTTCTGTCTCAATAATTGTGAGATGATGGGAGGAAGGTCAAATAACATCTTTGGGAGAGATCCCAAGTACATATTTGGATGTAGGGACTGAGGAGTTTTTCTGACAGCCATTCCTGTCAACTGTGACAAGGACAGCAGTTGGCAGGTTATCAACCCTGTGGCTCTAGGTGTTGCAGGTACTTGCTGCCCCTGTGGGCTAGGGAGATGGAATGCAGGATACTTAATGCCTTCCTGGTGAATGGTTATTTCCCCTGGGAAAGGGAAAAGAAAAAGGTGAGTAGGCAGAATTGCGTGACTGGCTGCCTTAGCATCTGGAGCTGTGCAGAGCTCTCTGCTTGTCTCTAAGGACAATATCACATGAAGTAGCTGCTGCTATTGCAGAAGCACAAATGACTTCACCTGGAAAGGTGAAGAACAGCTGACATAAGTAAAATATTAATTTTCCCTAGGTATTTTTGGTAGCCTGAAAAATAGCTGATTATATGAGCTGTAGATATTTTCAGCGAAGTCTGTCTGTACAGCAGATAGGTGCTCTAAATGAAACTGCTTGTGTTACTCAGCACTGGAAAAGGAAAGCATCTGGTAAAGCACATTAACATGTAATGTTGGAGACAGGAACCCAAATGTCTGCTGCATGCTAGTGTAACAGAGTAAATATGTGATTGTCTTTGGTAAATGACAGGTACGATCTTACATGTTCATATTTTACAGCAGCCTCTTCTGTGCCTGTCACTTTCTTTGTGATAATTACATACATTTCTTAAGGAAACAGCAAAAAGCCCCACCCCATACCACCCTTAAGGGAGCAGAATACTTGGGATTAGAAATCCTTCCTAATAGCTCTGTGATGTCCATGCCTTAAGTAGACAAGGCTAAGTCGTGTGGAATACTGATGTTAATGCAAGACATTCAGTAATTCAGAGTGAAATGACTCTCACATCATTAACTTAATTAAATCAGCATGCAGCAGGCCTTTATTTAAGTAAATTTCAGTAATGCCTTCAATGAATACTGAAAAGATCTATTTTCAGTGTTTGATACAACAATTAAAATGTCTTTTTTTTTTAATTATCATTCACTGGACTTGCTAATGCTTTCTGCTGAAGCAAGAATACTCAAGAATGTTTAAACATTAGTAAAAAATGTTAGGGAAGTGAATATTTGGGTAAGTATTACAGTTACTTGTTTAGTAATTTTTTCTCCCAACTTGTCCATCTGCAATTCTCTGGAAACTAGGGAAACATTAAGCCACAAATGGCTTTAACAATAACTAAGTTGGGATACTAAGTTTCAGGCAGATGTAGAAAGGGAAGGTGTGAAATGAAGAGCTTCTGTTAAATTTTTGTGTGCAGAAAAATGCTATAATTTTTTTGAGGAAATAAAAACCAGTAACAAAACACAAAGATGAAAATTATTAAGATGGGTAATACAGAGCATGGACTTGAGTTATTTTGTAACATACATCAGATGGGATTCATCTCAATTTTAAGAATGCTTTATTAGATTACATTTCAGTTCAGACCATTGAATACTTTCATATAATGACATGACTTTGTTATACAAATGATTTGCTTAAACTTCCAGTTTACAAAGAACCATGGCAAGTTATTACTCTAGAAAGTTTCATCTGTAAAATAGGGGTGGTGTTGTCTCTGGTTGCAGGGAACACTCAGAAGGGTTCCTTAAGCTTTGTACGTGGCACCTGGCACACTGGAATCTTGATGTTATTGGGTCCCGGGGGTGCTCTACAACAAAACCATCTTCAATCAAGATCCTTCAGAGCACTGCCTTGATGCCAAGGCTCAGCTGTGCTGTCCATGTTTAGCACTTTGCAGTGAACTGACAAAAAAATACCCCTGTTGATTCTGGCAAGTGAATGCAAATAGTAATTGCTAGTGCATTTTTGTGATCTCTACAAACTGTACACTTTCAACCATATTACTAGAATGCAGCTCCTTATTAAGCTTTGTAATCTCTGGAATTAACATTTCTTGCAGTGTTGCAGACTGCAGTCCAGACAAGCTCAAATGTAAGGATCACCAGAGCAGCCTCCTCTGCAGCAAGGCAGATGCTGAAGACAACAGCTACTGCTGGTAAGTGAGGCAGTGAACATAGTCCTGCTTGTGTAGCTCAAGCCTGATATGCAATTTAGAATGGTGTGATGTAAAGAGATACCATCTAGCACTAAAACCAACATATATCCTTCATATGCTGCTCTTAGACTCATTGTCAAATTATATTCTAGGACAGCTCTGTTGTCTTTAGCATCTTGCACTCTCATGTGCTGTAGAGATACAGATCAGCTTGTGCTGAACTTAGCACACTGCTTTCTGCTGTGTAACTGCCTCCTTTGAACAGATAGGCTGTATGTAAATCAGGTAAGAAAAGGACTAAATACTAGACCACTTAGACTCTCATCTGGAAGTCTTTTGCAATATTTAAATTGAGATGTTGAAACCAGAATTGGACCCTTGCCCATAAAATCCATCAGTGTGGAGCATCAGTAGCCATATGGTAACTGTGAAGTGAAAGAAGAAAACCAGAACTGGTAAAGACTTTCCAGTTTGGTGTATTGCTGTTTAAGGACACATGATTAATCTGTGATCAGGAACAGATACCTCTGGAAGAGGTGAAAGCCTGTGTTCTTCAGGTCAGAAATTTTACTCATCTGTGTTTGCCTGTCTGCTAGAAGAGATGGACATGATGGTTAACGAAGGGGAAATGTTTAGTATATGTTGTTCTTCTCAGGATATCCTTGAGAATGTTTTGCAGTGTCCCTTGTATTATACATGGCAGGAGTTAATCCTAGGCTGAAAGCATTGGTAGTTTCAATTCACAAGCAGAAATCCTTTGCCATGTAGAATTTAAAAATCTAAACTCAAATGGACTGGACACTATCTGATCAGTCTCTAAGGAAATAAGGTGCTTTTATTTTTAGTACACGACAACATCTAAAGACTAATGACTTAATCTATTTTTCTTTCTTGGTGATACATCTTTTAACAGGCTGTTAAATCCTAGGCTGGGTTTTCTTTTGAATGAATTTTTGCAATTAGGTGTCTGCCCTCTAGCCACCTCCTAGTCAAGAAACAAAACTGTCTCTCCCTGTCTCTAATGATTGGACTTTTATGGCAGTCCTTTGGTGAAAGATTGTCTTAATTAGATGCCTTTTTGACCTTTGGGAGTTTCTCTTATTCTAGGTAACCAGCCACAGAGAAAGCCAGCAAATGTAGGAAAGCAGAAGAAAGGAGTCAAACCTGGCATCACAGAGGTAGGTCATATAATATTTGAAATGGAAGAGCAGTTAAACTGATTTAAAAGCCAATAGGAGTGTAATTGTAGCTCAAATATATTTGTGTTCAAGCATAGAAGTAATAAGTTCATTAATAGGCTAGAAGCTGCATGTATAAAAAAAGGCTGCTTTGCTGCTTTATTGAGCACTTGTAAATTTTCTGCCATTCATTCCTTTTTGAAATATACTTTGGATGAATCCTTGTAATCCTGAGGTCATGATATGAGACTTCAGGAGCTAAGAAATAAATGCTTTTATAGGTTCGGAGCCATGAAAAAAATTAAGCTGGAAATGTTATTCTCTGCAAGGTAGACATACCATAATCAAAGGCAGCTATTGTGGTTCTCTGTGCCAGAGCTATAACAAAACTTAACCTCTGCACAGAGACAGCAGGATTTGAGCTCCTGGTAGCCCTCCAACCCAGGTTCCCAAACAATTTGTGTGTGTGTTCATGTGCTGTTGTGTGCAAGCACTACCAGTGGTTTTTCTCCTCCTTTGCACTCCACCTCTGTCCTCGTGTCTCCCTCACACCTCCCACCTTCACTCCTGTTTCCATAACTGCAGCTGTGGTCTGGTGTTGTCTTGAAACTGGTGCAATCACAGAAATACTGACAGGAAGAGGAACATCTTGGCTTGGAGAAGTGCCCCTTCCCAGACAGGAGTTGCTTTGTGCTGCCAGTTGGTAACTCCTGCTGTAACCTCAGTCATCTCTTTACAAGAAGTGTGTTAAAAGTTGAATTCAAGGCTTACATTCCATGCAGGGGGGTTCTAAAGTATAACAAGGTTTTCAGTGGTTTGAAATTGCATGTTTTCTTGGAAAACAATCTAAGCTCTGTTGGCTTGTTTGAGCTAACTATATAAGTACCTCAGAAATGTCCTCTGTGTGACTATCCAGTCATCTCATAGGAATGTGGATTCAACTTATTAAGTTTTTCTCTTCCTTTAATGACTAGCACCTTCTGTGGTCTTAACTGCACTTGTCTTGGGCTGCATTCCTCAACTATCAGCTTCTTGTAGCTTGTTCTTCAGCCTTTGGATTAGAGTATGTGTATAAACTCTGATTATTCAACAGGCCTAGTTGGATTTGAAGCCAGTAATTCTGCTCTTGAGGGAGCTTATCACCTCAAAGCATTGATTTCTAGCAGTGGGAGCAAGCATCTGCTGATTTTAATTGCTGTTTTGGTAGGTGAGGTGTTCTGCTCCTTTAGTCCCTTCAGTGGATTGTTGCATTCCTCATCATGAAGAACTCTCCCTGTTACTAGAATGATTCACAGGTGTCAAAACCTGTTGGGCATACTGGTAAATAATTTCTGAACTGGTGAAAGGGGCTTACCAGAAACTGTTCCTTCCTGATTCCTTTCAGTCAGTCATGTTATAATTTAGCCCATGTCTCTAGTAAAAACTTCATTGATTTAATAATGTAATGTTTGCTTTGTCTGGCTCTGCTGTTACAGGTAATTCCTTCTAAACAAGAAGTGGATGAAAATGCTCAACTGGATCCAGTGATGAAAGGCCCTGCAGCTGATTCTAAACATTCAGTGTCAGTAGAACTTCAACAGGAACAGACCTCAACAGAAAGCAAGACCAATTCTGCACCAGGGAGACCCGGAACACGTTCTTTTGCACCTCAAAACTTCGTGTTTCAGCCTTTAAGCGGATTAGCAACCTACAAAGTTACACCCATGACTCCTTCTAGGGCAAATGCATTTTTGACACCTCGTGCCTTCTGGGATTTTTCCAAGTCTCCAGTGTAAGATTCTTTCTTCTAGTGGCTTAAAGTGCAAGTGAATCTCTCTGTGATGCTACAAAGGACAAAATCTTTCTACAGAAAGGTTCCCTGTGTAACCAACTTGCGGTTTTGAAACACCTGATCATCGTGGTTGCTGTCATTGCTTAAATATGGGTTTAATGCAACAGCAAAGAAAGCAAAAGAGTCCTTAGTTCTGTCTAGGCGTTAGAAGTAGAGCAGCCCCATGTACCTGGGACTGTGCCATGTATATCTCTGCATGGATTCATTAATTTTAACAGGATTTACCTAGCACAGTGTGTGGGATTGCCTTTTAAATTGTGTGTTTCTGTGTGTTTCTGTGTATTTGGTCCTTTTATGTCAGTTTCTCACTGCATCTTAACTGTAAATGTACTTTTTTATTGTTTCCAGTAATATTCTTGAAAAATCCAGTGAGACTAAGGCACAAGAGCTTAATTTTAAAAGTCCAGTTTCACCTGCTGGTAAAGGCAGTCAAAAACAGCAAACCCCTAAAATTCTGAAAGGAGGAAAAGGTAAGAAGTTCACGTTTAGCTTATTGTCCTAATGTTTTCCATGTTCACCAGATTCCAAACAAATGCCTTTTGTATTTTTCAGCAAGCGAATCAGATGAGAAAAATTCCATTCAGAAATCAAATGAAACAACTCCTGTCTCTACAGATATAACAGCACTTGAAATGAAGTCTGATGATGTAATAGAGCAAGAGCATGATGTGCCTTATTTCAGGTTTGTATTCATTTGTTTCTTTTCCCTCTTGTCTGTTTGGAGGTTATTAACAAGAGTAAATAAACATCTTGTAAAGATTAGCTTATAGATGTTGGTGTCTGCCAGCAGTGACCTGAGCAGGCACACATTCCTGTCTTCCCTTCTGTACTGTTAGCAAAAGTAAAGAATGTCAAATTCTGGAGACTGACACCTCATCCAAAGGAACACAAGCTTGAAAACAGTAATAAAGAAATTGCATCTCAGCCAGTCAGCATACTGGAACAGGCTGATGGCTTCAAAGGCAGTGCAGCTTCTGTGAAAGTGGCCTTTGAGAACCTGAAGGGGCTCCAGGAAAGCTGGGGAGGAACCTGGGACAGGGAGGGATGGGACAAGGGGTAATGTCTTAAAACTGGAAGAGGGGAGATTCAGATTAGACATTAGGAAGAAAGAGAGGTGAGACACTGGTACAGGTTGCCCAGGGAAGTTGTGGAAGCATTATTGCTGGAAGTGTTGAAGGGCAGGTTGGATGGGGCTTGGAGCAACCTGGGCTGGTGGGAGGTGTCCCTGCCCATACAGGGGGTTGGGACTGGATAATCTTTAAGGTCCCTTCCAACCCAAATCAGCCTGAGACTCTATGAAAGTAAAAGGATACTAATAATTAACAATTATAAGTACTGACAACAGTTAGAAAAGTCTCCAAAAACTTGTTTTTTCACTTCCCCTTTAATTTTAGAAATATTCTTCAGTCTGAAACAGAGAGGCTGATGTCTCAGTGCCTCCAGTGGGATGGAAAACTTGAGCTGGACATTCCAGAGGACGGTAAGACTCAACAGGCACCAGAAGAGGTGTTATGGTAACTGAAGGGGACAGAGGGATATTCATGTGTCTGAGTGTATCTGCCAAATAGCACTGTCTACAGCACTGAGTAAAAGTTGTATTAGATGAAGCTTAGGGCTGTATCTGCCTTAAGACAAAAAGTCATACGTTATCTCCTGATAATACAACTTAGGTGTAGTACTGGCCATGACAGTGGTTGACACTTCAGTGAACAAAATACCCATCAATATAGTTTTTCTGTTGTCAGTTTTACCTGTGTTTAAATGTATGAACTTTAACCAAATTAAAATCTAACTTAGGATAAATGTCCTTTTCTGGGAAAATGAAGGCATCTCATAAATGCTTATCTCAGACTTATATAAATTATAACATTTCTTGGAAAGAAGCAAGTTTAGAGCAGTTCAGTGGACAGATGTGCTCCAACAACATTGTGTTGCAGGTCTGCAATAGATGAATGTAATTCAAACAATACATTCCAGACTCTTATTAAACTTATTAAAATCAGTTGTGAAATGATGGGTTCCTCCAAGATGAACTTTCTCTGCTGTTTTCTTGTTGCTCTCAGCTAAAGATCTAATTCGCACCACAACTGGTCAGACAAGGCTGCTCATAGCAGAAAGATTCAAACAGTTTGAAGGTCTGGTGGATAACTGTGAGTTTAAACAAGGTGAAAAAGAAACAACGTGTACAGACTTGGATGGATTTTGGGATATGGTTAATTTTCAGGTATGAACTCGCATGTTAACCTACTAGGATAAAGTTGATGGGGTTATTTACAAACTGTGGGTTGCAGCTATTTTTTTGTTTGAATGGTCAGATTCTGACTGTTTTGTGTGTAAAAAAAAAAAAACCAAAAAAAAAACCCAAGACACAACACACAAAAAAACCCCAAAAATAAAAGCAGGAATCCCAGATTGGTTTAGGTTGTATGGAATGCTAAAGCTCATCCAGTTCCAACCCCACTGCATGGGCAGGGACATATCCCACCAGACCAGGTTGCTCCAAGCCCCATCCAACCTGCCCTTTAACACTTCCAGGGATGGGGCAACCTGGGCCAGTGTCTCACCACCCTCACAGCTGTGGTGGGTGAGTAAGTACCAGCCACACAAATACTACAATTTGTAATTCATGGACCAGTTCATCTGTTGTATCTTCTTGTGGCTACGTATCTCATTTTCCTCTGGAATGAAGGCATGTAGTCAAGTCTCATTCTGGTTTGGAGTGAGGAGGACACAGTCGCAATGTCTGCCTGGACCAAAATTTGGGAGTTTTTGGAAAGTTCCAGGAGCTCACCTGAAAAGCAGGGGCTCCATGCTTCAGTAGGAGAATAATGCAGAATCTACAGTAACCCTAGAGGTGAGCTTAGGTAGTTGAAAACCTTAATCTCTTTTTCTTTGTTGATATTTGCATTGGTTTCAGAATGAAATATAATATTCTAAGTTATCAGAATGGCTCTCAACAGTATTTGTAAATTAACATTCAACAAAGGAACTTGGAACTAGTTAAATGCCCAGATGGATTTATTGTGTAGGGTTCTAGTCATAGGTCTTTAATTCCCTCCACAAAGCAAAAGGGTTTAACTGGCTTGTACATCAGAGATATTTGAGGAGAACTTTGCTAGAACCAGTAACCTGAAAGCAGAGTTTACCTGTGCTTACTGTTTCTCTGGGAGCAGCTGAAGTTTCTCCTGAGCAAGTCCACCTTTTTCTTTAGAGTAAACATGGAGTAGCAGAATTGCTGACTCTTTTCTCTTTTTGCTTTTTTTTTTTTTCCTGTTTGTGTCCTGTGAGTTTCAGGGAGGATGTAAAGGACTTCTCACTTCAGTGCTGTACAGAAATAAACCTTGTATGGCCTTCTAGCAAATGAGGGAAGTGTCTCCATGACAAAGCCTAAGGAGAACAAGGCTGTTGCATGGAATATCAGTCAGGGAGGAGGTAAAGCTGCAGAGCTAGTTTGACACCAACAGGCACAGACTGCAGCATAAAGCTGTTCAGACCAGCAATTTAAAAGAGCAAACAAGTTTGCATGGTGTGTTTCTTACATAAAGGAAGGCTCGTGCTTGGTTGGCTAAAGACCATTATGCAACATACTCTTTTGCATTCCTTAAATGCAGCCATTGTCTAAGTGCTTTATTCAGTAGAACAGGTTGCAAACCAGCTCCTTCAGTTTCAATGTCAGATCTTACTGAAAGATTCTGTACTTCTCCTACTAATCTTGAGGCAACAGAAATTATACCAGTCTTGTCATCTAATCTCATGTCACCTGTGTGAGAATGTTTGATGCTTATCATCAGCTGAGGCACCTAAATGCATGACTATGCTTACGTTTGTTACCTGACTTTATGAAACACTGTTCCATTGTAAATCTGAGAAGTCTTGCAAATGAAACCTGTATTTTTCTGGGATTTCCAATAGATAGAAGATGTGAATAAAAAGTTTGATAATCTGAAGAAGCTTCAAGACAATGACTGGCAACCATTTGATGTCCCAAGCAAAGCAATTGTCAAGGTATGAAAAGGCTCTAAAAGATGTCTTCTAAGGCATCAAGATGCATAAGTGTGTTATAGTGATACATGTATCTAAAATAACTAGTAAGGAGCTATTGCAGTAATGAATGCTCTTCTTAAATGGAGGTTCCTTCTGAGGCCCTATTCATCTGGCTCATTTACATGTTTATGTTTTAAAAATTCAGGGAAATTCTTAAGATGCACCCTTCTCCCAAGTATTAGTGGGTGTCTAATGCTAGTTGGCTCTGTTGACTGGGAAGATTAGAATTAACAACTACCTTTTTGGAGTCATGGGACTCCTTGCTAGTAAGACAAATCTATTAAATTTAGAATAGAATTTACCCTTCAGCTGTAGAACATTTCATCTGAGCCTTTGGTATGAGCACTGACTTGAATGGAGAGGAAACCACACAGGAATTTGGCAGTGACTGCCACTTCTGAGCAGTGAGTGGTGAATTATAATGGTGTCCCTGGGCAGCATTAAACTAGGAGTTCTCTAAGCACAAATGGATCTGACACTACCCAAAAGAAGCTTTAATGTTGGCAGTTTTATCTGCTCTTTGGTTTGGACTGAACATCAAGTCATATTCATGTTGTCTAATCTCCATCCAGTTCCTTGGGACTGCTCCATCATGAAAACGATAAGAAGGTTGGTAGGAAAGTCCAGGCACAGGGGACTGGAGGGAAGGCAGTCTGTGTGAGCTGCACATAAATGCCAGAACCCTACAGAGGGTACAAGAGACAAAACGTCCTTTAAAAAAGGTGGAATGCCAGGAGAGACGTCACTGGCTGACTGGTGTCTGTCCTGCCGTTACTTCATCCCCCTGCCACTAGGAGTCCCTGCATCCCACCGTTTTAAAACACGTTAGCTGGATTTGTTAGGAAAAAAGTTGTACCGAGTATTTCTGAACAGTAGATTCAATATGAACAATCCTTAATATTATCATGATGAAGTAACCTGAGAAGCTGAACGGCAGCCCAAGAGATTCTGGAGATAAATGGAGGCCTCATCTCCAGTGTGTCTCTGCATGGCCAGCAGCTGCATGGCTGCTCGTACGCAATTGCTTCTCTCTGAAGCTTCCAGATGTGACCTGAGCTTTCTTACCATTTTAGAAGAAGACTATTCCAAAGGGAGTGTCCAAACCAAAGCTGGGAGCAGCTGGAAGAGCTGCTGCCCGAAGCCGGCTTGCTGCTGTAAAAGCAGCTATGAGGAATAAAATGAAGCCTGAGGAAGGTGCTGCTTGTGCCCATCAGGAGATGCCACCAGAGGTAGAAACAGTGGTTTTTGATGCAGGATTCTTCAGAATTGAAAGCCCTGCAAAAATCTTTCCAGGTGGGTAAAACTTAATCATGATTTCTGTGACCTGAATGTACTGAAGAGAGCTTAACCAGTCTCGCTGGGGGGAGGAATCGTGCTGTTTATACTGGAAACAACTCCAGTACACAATTAATATTTCAGCTAGTGGTTAATTACATCAGGGATTCAAAGTGAAGTGTTCTAAGTGAATGTGGTGATTTGAGTGATTATGGCAGCATGAAATCTCTGCTTAGACAGGGAGGGAAAAGCAGCTGGTTCATGTTTTTCCACCATGGGTTTAACAATGAAGGTTTGATCTGAATGTTGCCAGACTTGGCTGGTGAACCCATTCATCACTGTCAGTGCATGTCTGCTTGTAAGGCAGCAACAGGTATTGTTTTGAGCTGAATCTCTTGCAGTGCTGACATCAAAGCTGCAAATAAAGTGTACCTGTAATCTGTATTCATGTTCAACAAGTTTGAAACCTAACTCCAATCCACTGTAGAAGCAGTTTAAATAGGGGGTTTTGAGCAGATGCTCAAAATACAACTTCATTCTCAGTATCCATCTTATTACAATCTATGTGAAGCCATTATTTTCAGGAATCCTTCATTCTTTGGGGGCTGTCCTGCTTCTCTCCCATTTCTAGCTCGTCAGTTGACTTTGGATTTCCGAGTTTATCTTTTTGTGCAGATCCTTTTCCTCAGCACCAGACTAGCCTTATCATGCCTCACCTCCTGAAAAGGGTTAGAGCAACACTGGTTGGTTTAAGCAACCTCTAGCAGGGAATCTGTATAAGAATCCATTCTGAATCTGTGTCTTTTTAATACTATTAAAATTATCTGATGTAAAAGTTGGAAATTAATGACAGCTCTCACCAGATGGACTTTTTAATAAGAACAGCAAGTCTCATTATTTCAAGTTCTTTGTGAAGGGATAATCATTACCAAATTGCTTAGGTAGTTTTGTAACTTATTGACCTACACTTGTCACATTTTATCCATTTCTCCTTGCAGTTTATACAAGATTTCAATATGATATTTGTATAAGATAATCCAGCAAGCAGCAAACAATAGTGCTCCCAGCTAGAATCCAACCAACCAGTTAATTTCATCTTCTAGAAACTGCTGTAGTAATGAAATGTGGAACACACTTTTTCAGGCTTGGTTTCAAAGACACCTCAAAGATCTTGCCAGCAGACTTCTGAAAAACTGACAACTTCAAGATCCTCCAGCAGAGCTTTGCTTCAGTGTGTCCCTTCTGTTCCTTGTAACCCTGAGGATACAACTGCAAAACAAACAACACCAGTGCTAAAAGGCTTCCACCCAGCACAACATTTGAATATGCACCTATTTCCCACTGGAAAAACTCCCCCACTGGAAAAACTCCCCGATTGTTTTCTTGAACCAAGGTAGACATCTTAAGGCAGCTTTTCATTTAACTTTGTTCCAATAATTTTATAGTTTGAAACAAAAGGGTTAAGATGAAAAGCCAGTGATTGTTACATTCCAATTTGGCTGTTGCAAAGCTTGCAAAGTCTTTGTCTTTTCCTTCCCTTAAGCAAATATTAAGAGCTTTGCCCAAATTAAATATAGTTGCTTGAGTAGAAGTTTGTTAGGTTTTTTACCCAGAAAATTTGGTGTAGCTGACCAGTGCCAAAAAGCAAGTGTAATTGCAGAACAAATTGTAAGATCAGTTAGTTAGTTAAAAAGGTGATTGAAAACGATTAATATGATTGAGTGAAAACATTTTGGTTTGTCTTTCAGCAATTCTGTAGTTGAAGAAGAACACTGTCCTGGCACAGCAGAGGGAGCTGGGGTAAGTCATGTGTAGTTCATTTATATGCTTTAAGTATTTGATTATTATTAGGGGAAAAAAAGAGAGCAAGTTAATTTTTTTAGCCCCAGACACTTGGATTTCACATCATTAGATGATACTGAGCTACTCAGTGAAGACCAGTGTTTTGCAATTAATCATCCTGTAGTACCTCTCATGGGATGTGGTGTATCTTAATTTTATTTGTTACTGCTTGGATCTGTGCATGACTCATTTCCCACCACCACCACTTGATATATGTGATATATATTTTAAAAAAATAACAATCTTTGTTACTAATCTGTTCTTATGCCTTTTGTTTCATCCTTTTCTGGTCAAATGACAAGTTGCTTGTTGGGCAATGTTGTGCTCTGAGGAACACTGTGGTAATCTTTAACTTCAGGATTTTCTTGAGGAAAAGTCTCATTAGAGAACATCTCCAGAATGTTTTTGGCACTTGAAGTTCAAAATCTTCTTTCATGTGCAGTCTCCTGCATTGTCCATAACACTTAGAGGTCAGATGTATGGACTTGGTTTGACATAATAGGGACATGCTGCTTTCTGTAAACTCACATCCCTTGAATGTTCTGGCTGCCTTTTCATCTTTGTGCTTTTTTGCATCAAAAGCTGACAAAATGCCTTTTATTGCAGACAAAAAGAAAAGAAGTTCTTAGTGTAACAGATGCTGCCTCATGTCCTTCTGATTTCACTGATGCTTTCCTTTTGGCTCTCTAAGAAGCAAACACAGGTTTTCCAGACATCTTACCCTCTCAGGGCACAAGAAGCAGTTAAAATTCCTCTTTTTCAGGTGCTGGAAAATTCTAACAGTGAAGTAAACATGGATGGGATGGAAGAGATGGAACTTTCTGCTGCAGAACAAGGACAAGATATTGTCATGTGCAGTCCAGAGGAGCAGACCTGTACAGAGACTAACTTTGCTCAGTCTGGAGATCAAACAGGTTTGTGTGGTATTGCTCGGGCATTGTGTTTCTTCTAAATGTTTATAGTAGTCTAAATATTACTGTTTGAAGTCACTGTCATTGTAGCTCTGTTAATCTGTGCACTCTGTGAGCAAAACCTGTAGCTGGGTGTGACTTACAGATGTGTTGCACATGAGCAAACAGTGCCCCTCAGGTTTGTTGGATGGTTTCAATCTGGTAAGTGAAGGAGAAAACTAACACAAAAGGCTTGAAGTATCATAGAATTGTGGAATGGTTTGAGTTGGAAGAGACTTTCAAGATCATCCAGTCCCACCCCCTGCATGGGCAGGGACACCTCCCACCAGCCCAGGTTGCTCCAAGCCCCATCCAACCTGCCCTTCAACACTGCCAGGGATGGGGCAGCCACAGCTTCCCTGGGCAACCTGGGCCAGGGTCTCACCCCTCTCACAGCAAAGAATTTCCTCCTAATGTCCAACCTAAAGCTCCTCTCTTTCAATTTTGATCCATTCCCCCTTGCCCTCTCACTCCTGCCCTTGTCCCAAGCCCCTCCCCAGCTTTCCTGGAGCCCCTTCAGGCACTGGAAGCTGCTCTAAGGTCTCCCTGGAGCCTTCTCTTCTCCAGGCTGAACCCCCCACCTCTCCCAGCCTGTCTCCAGAGCAGAGCTGCTCCAGCCCTGGGATCATCTCTGTGGCCTCCTCTGGACTCTCCAACAGCTCCATGTCCTCCCTGTGCTGGGGACCCCAGCCCTGGCCCCAGCCCTGCAGGGGTCTCAGCAGAGCAGAGGGGACAATCCCCTCCCTGGCCCTGCTGCCCACACTGCTGGGGATGCAGCCCAGGACACGGGTGGGTTCTGGGCTGCCAGCACATGGTGCCAGCTCATGTTGAGCTTCTTGTCCACCACGACTCCCAAGTCTTTCTCCTGTGAAGGGGTAGTTGTTGTTGGGGTTGTTTGTTTTGTTTCAGTAAATGCAGAAAACACTGCTACTGTTTCAGCTATGGCAGCATCAGACTTTTTTGAAAAAAAAATGAAATCTTTTTCTCTTTCAGATGTTTCATGTAGTGATTTGACGTCCCTTGGCAGAAATCCTTGTGATGTGGTAAGTTGACCTTCAGGTTTATTTGACTGTTACAGGATTGTTAACTTCCCTACAAAATCAGTTACTGCAGCAAGTAAAATGAACTCTAAGATCTTATCAAGGCAATTCATAGAACTGCCTGCAAATAAAAGCCACCACAAAACCTGTCACCCTGCTCACTATGATACTCCTTGTTGCCCATGAGGAGTGTAGGATCAATCAAGACATTTGTGACAGAACAATCTCTGATTCTCACCAGATTGATCCTTTAAAATATGTTTCTTGTGGATTTCCTTGTAAATATTTACCACCACAATGAACAACCTGGCCTTTCCCTTCCACTTGCTTCTTGGAGTTTTTCAGGTCTGTCCTCTTTTTCTTAATAGTTTTATCTTTGAAGTAAGATTCAACAGGGAAAAACAGGTGCATAAACTTCTTCAAATTGTGAAGAGAATTTGGAAGTACAGTTTCCTTGGTCTCATGTGTAAAGTCCTCTTTAAAATATGGAATACTGTGTGCAATGGACCCCTTATTTTGTGTCTGGAAACAAGCTTGCAAAACTTATCTTAGGAAAGTCATGTTGTTTCCAGTGTACCTGCTTTTAACTGTGGCTGTTGCCTGACAGAACTTCCTGTTGGTCTGGTGTTTGCAAAAATGTCATTAGAGCAAGGGGAAATTGCTTATTTCATGTGTCCTTGCAGTGGTATTTTGCAGAGCAGATAATTGTTCCTCAAACACTTCCTTCATACTCCTGTTTATTTTTATTTTTATTTCGTTTTAAATGGTTTGGGTTGGAAGTGACCTTGAAGACCATTTATTTCCAACCCCCCTGCCATGGGCAGCAACACCTCCCACCAGACAAGGTTGCTCCAAGCCCCATCCAACCTGCCCTTCAACACTTCCAGGGATGGGGCAGCCACAGCTTCTCTGAGCAACCTGGGCCAGGGTCTCACCACCCTCACAGCAAAGAATTTCTTCCTAAATTTCTCCTACAGCCCATGCTGGATGCTGAGCTTCCCTTCACTCCAGTCAAGAGCAAAGCCCAGAAGTTTGCAGCAGCTGAAGCTTTCACTGACCTTATTGTATTTTCTCCCCTTTCTCCCTCTGGGGAAAAATGAAGAGGGACTTGACATTCAAAATGTGTAAATTATATTAACAAAAAAGCCCCAAACAAAACAGGCTACCTAGAAGACTACCTGCCCCCTGAGCTGTGTTCTGAGTGAATGAATACCTGTATTGTTTTAGAGTGGAACTTATTAAAATGTTTTGTAATGGTTTTATATGGAGCAGTCATGATGCACAGTGCTGCACGTGCAGTGTGTGAGCAGCAGGGTGTGTGCTGGTTGTACCTGCTGGACCTCATGTTTGCCTGTTCTTACTACAACCTGAAATATCTTTATTTTTGTATAATGCATTTCTTGTCTACTTCAAGTTGTGAAACTCTTTGCCTTTAAGCTTCTCTGTCTTGACCTTAACTCACCTCATGAATTATTCTAGTAAGATGCCCATCAGACTAGCTGTTTCTGACACTAGGGCACCTTCTAGGGGGGCAGACTCAGCCTGTTGCATCCCCCCAAGCACTGTGTGTTGCTTGGTGGCTGTTGGGAGGGTGCAGCTGCACCCTTGGGCTCCAGGGTGCTGTGCATTAGCAGCTCTGCCTCATCAGCAGCTGTGGCTGGGCTTGTAACTCTTTCCTGTGGGAGTCTTCCTGGAGCTTAACCACCACATGCTTTGTAATAGCAGAAATTATCTCAGAATAAGGATTTCCAAGACAGATAAATATCTTTTCCTGGCACTGCATTAAAATAGGCATAGAGTATTGTTTCCTGTAAGGACACAGTTATCTGTTGAATATCTTAAGTACCTTCAAGCCAAACCCTGCTCCCTCTTTGCTTTTTCATGTGAAAATCTCTCAACCTCTTTCTTTGAACACTTGACTTTTCAATCACAGCCTCTTCTCTCATCCCTTTCTTTATGCATGTTCTCATCTGGACTGTAACATATTTAGGCACAAGGAGTGTGCCAGTTACTACTACTCAAATATAGGGTGTATATATATATATTAGTATCTCCAGTTGTTTTGTTTTTAACCAATACCTGGCCTGGGCTGCTTCTTGTAATACACACATTCTTCCACCGACCTTTATTTTAAAGCAAACAAAAGTGATGCAGGAGCCATTGCTGCTGAGTTGAGTTTTACCCTGCAATTTTATCCTGTACTGATTGTGCTGAAATAAAGAGAGGAAGCTCATGGCACCTGGTGTTACTGTGCTGGGACCAACTTTCTTCATTACTGAACTCCAGTTATACAGACAATTTCCAACAGGGGGCTCTTAATGACTTGCCTGCTCTCTTCAGGCTTCAACACTGTAGAATAAATAGAGGGTTAATGAGATTTCTGACATCTGACACAGATGTTTTAAGGCAGGGCAGCAGTTTGCTGGTCTATCCTACTGCACCTTCTGGAAGACATTTCACCACTGCTGGCTGTAACTGGGCACCTCTAAGGATAAATCAAAGAATCATAGAATGGTTTGAGTTCATAGTGACCTTAAATACCATCTAGTCCCAACCCCCCTGCCATGGGCAGGGACACCTCCCACCTGACCAGGTTGCTCCAAGCCCCATCCAACCTGCCCTTCAACACTGCCAGGGATGGGGCAGCCACAGCTTCTCTGAGCAACCTGGGCCAGGGTCTCACCCTCCTCACAGCAAAGAATTTCTTCCTAATGTCTCACCTAAATCTCCCCTCTTACAGTTTTTAGCCATTCCCCCTCATCCCATCCCTCCCTGCCCTTGTCCCAAGCCCCTCCCCAGCTTTCCTGGAGCCCCTTCAGGCACTGGAAGCTGCTCTAAGGTCTCCCTGGAGCCTTCTCTTCTCCAGGCTGAACACCCCAACTCTCTCAGCCTGTCTCCAGAGCAGAGCTGCTCCAGCCCTGGGATCATCTCTGTGGCCTCCTCTGGACTCTCCAACAGATCCATGTCCTCTCTGAGTTGGGGACCCCAGCCCTGCAGGGGGTCTCAGCAGAGCAGAACAGAGGGGACAATCCCCTCCCTGGCCCTGCTGCCCACACTGCTGGGGATGCAGCCCAGGACACCGGTGGTCTCTGGGCTCCAGTGCATGGTGCTGGCTCCTGCTGAGCTTCTCATCCACCATCACCCCCAAGTGCTTCTCCAGAGTTTTCAATCTATTCTCCACCCAGCCTGTATTTGTCCTGGCATTGCCCCAGCCCAGGTGCAGGACCTTGCACTTGGCCTGGTTGAACTCAATGTTATAAAAGAGGACAAGACACGTTAAAGAGATCCTTCAGAACTCCAGCAGTGGCTGTTGCACTGTTCCTGTTTTGCAGACAAGACCAGGAGAATGACTCACAGCAAGGGGAACATTTTTTTTTTTAACAAGCCTGACTCATGAGGTGAATTTGCCAATAACTCTCCCCACCCTTGCCATCAGTGTTGACTCATGCAGGAGTTATGAGGGGAGGGAAGCACGAGGCTCATGGCCCGTTTCGTGGAGTCTGTAACACTTGTGTAAATTGGATCTCCCTTGGGAGCAGGATGGGTTCAGAACACCCAGATTTGGGCCACCAAAAGGGCAGAATAGGCCTTTGAAATGAAGGAGAGGGGTGACTTTTCTAACCATGGTCTAAGGAGAGAGGTTTTGCTCTCTCCAGCTCTGAATCTCCTCCTGAAATACCTCATTCTGGTCAGGATCACAAGCTTAGGAGTTTTCCCTCTTTCCCAGTCTTTTCTAGGGGAAAACTTCATTGAAGTGACAACTCTGTAGAGTACTAGAGGAGATGGCCTGAAGTTGTGCCGGGGAGGTTTAGACTAGATATGAGGAAGAATTTATTTACTGAAAGAGTGATCAGACACTGGAATGGGCTGCCCTGGGAGGTGGTGGAGTCACCATTCCTGGAGGGATTTAAAAACCCTGTAGATGAGGCACTTCAGGACATGCTCTAGAGCGGCTTTTTGGGGGGCAGGGGTTTATGGTTGGACAGGTGACCTTAGAGGTCTTTTCCAGTCATGATGATTCTGTGGATTACACACAACCCAGCCCCTCCTCCTCCCCTGGGGGGATCTGAAGTCCTTTACTGCACTATTTTGATTCCTCTTGAAAAAGGAAGAACTGCTCTTCCTAGCAGAGCAACTGGGGCTAAAAATACGGAGTTACCAGATCGTACTTGAAGAAGATGGGGTTGAAAATCACACCCCTAGTTCCCAGGGCCAGCAGCTGTTCACCACAGGCTGCTTTCCCAAGCACTCCTCTCCATCCAAATCAAACAGCTCCTACTCTTCACCCTTCAGCAAAGGACTTCTCTGTCTCCAAGAGCTCAGATGTGTTCCACACTTGAACTCAGCATGTTGGAGGGTCTCATGTCTTTTGAGATCTGACTGAAACCAAGTTTTCCTGGTGAAAGTACGTTTTATTACCTCAAAGTGTTAAAAGTAAGAAGGCACTTGTGTGAAGAGACAGGTGAAGAGCACTCAGTTTGCACCAGCATTGACCAGGGGGGGTTCATATCATGGTGGGCATGACGCTGGTGAGGGAGATGTCCCCGGCGATGCACAGCTTGGTGATCTCCTTCAGCTGCTTCTCACGGAAGTTGTACTGCAGCAAGTGAGCATCATTGACTGCTACCTTGAAGTGATCCACTTCACAGAGGATCTGGAGCTGGAATTAAATCCCCAAAACACATTGGATGTGTGCTAGGAGGAAGTTTCAAGCCACAGACTGGCTAAAGGCTGCTGCCTGCTGGGCCCAGCCCGGTGGCATGTGGACAAGCTGGTGCAGCAACTCTCAGCTGCAAAAACATTTTTTGACCTTTGCCTTCCCCCAAGCCCTGCTGTCCTCTTCCTTCTTCGTGTTTTAGTCCACAATTCCTGTCTCCTCATGACTGTGACAGTGTTATCAAAGAGCTGGACCCTACAGTTCACACAGCAAGAGCTGCGTTTGCACCAAGTGTGGACCTGGTTGGCAGGAGACAAAGCTGATGAAGAAAGCTGGGCTGCTCACAGGGAGAATGCTTCACAGAAACCTGCCCAACCTGCTGCAGAATGACTGGAGGGTTTAATAATAAATGGGAATAACAGAAGTGGGGAGAAGTTATACCTTGGGCACCTGTGCCTGCAGGAGGGGGTAAGAAGCACAGAGAAGGTGCTGTGGGAGCTGCTGCGTTGGACAGCCAGGGAGGTGCACCAGATGACAGCCCCAAAAACACCTCTGGGAGCTGATTTTGCACAAAAGCATCAAGGTCCTTAAAACAAATCCTTTTACCCAAATCCAAATTACCCAGCCCTGACCAAACCCTCCCAGCACATGGTGCAGGTGCTGTAGGCACATTAGGACTGAATTTTGGGGCTCTTTTTGATTACCTTGAAGGGTTTTCCAGCTTCAAATGGAAACCTGGGAGCTGTCCTCTCCTCCTGTCCCCAGTTGTTGTGGAACATGGAATTACAGACGATGACTTTCCTGTTGTCTTCGTTGAAGCGGGGATTGAAGTGGAAGGCAATGTCATTCCCTTTCTTGAAATCCAGTGAAAACCTGCAAAGGAAATGATGGATTTGCTGCTTTTTGCTAAAAAAAAACCCACAACCCACAACCCTGGGCTCTGTTTTGAGCCTTGCCAGAAGTAGCAGCAAGTGGGCACAGAAAAAAAAACCCACAGACCCTGTTGGTCGGTTACGGGGCATTTACATGTTTATGTTTTGTAATATGGGTGTAATGGAAAGCAAATTCCAACTCGAACCAGCAGCACTCCATGGAAACACTCCCCACCCTCCCTCTTGGAGCTGGACACCCCCAGTACCTGTTTGGTTTGGGGTTGATGGTCCCTGTGATGGTGATGAGCAGCCGAGGAACAAGTCCTGCCTGCAGGGGCAGCTCGAAGGGGACTTTCTGGGAGACAAGAGGGATTTGGTGTTAGCAAAGGAGCATGTGACAAGCCAAATGCTTGGTGACAACACACCAGGACAGCACTGTGACACAGTGACCACCCCTGCCACCCCTCCCAGGGACAGCCAGCCCCAGGTCCCTCCCGTGGCTGAGCAAAACCTGGCAGTGAAGACAGAGAAACCCTTGTAATATGATGAAGCTGTTACCATGGGAGGAGCTGGTCCTCCCTGTTCAGGGGGAGGCCCAAATCCAGAGCCACTGGGTGGTTGTCCCGGGGCAGGATACGGTCCTGGTCCTGCTGGAGCTCCAGGGAATACTCCAGGTGCTCCTGGAAAGGGTCCTGGTCCTGCTGGTCCTCCAGGAAATACTCCAGGTGCTCCTGGAAATGGTCCCTGTCCTGCTGGTCCTCCAGGATAAGCTCCTGGTGCTCCAGGGTAGGTCCCCGGAGGGCCAGGATACACCGGGAAGGCCCCAGGAGCCGGTGGCTGGTTCCCCCAGGAGGGCCAGCCTTGGGGTTGTTGTTGCCAGTGGGCAAAGCATCCGATAACTGGGAACAGAGGGGAGAGGAGGAGGGTTAGGGGGGGGTGACATTAACCCTGGGGTCACCTTGTGTCCTCCCAACATCCGCCTTTTGTCACCAACAGCATGTGCAGAGGGCAAGAACTCAGCTGCTCCCCATTGGTAGGGGGGTGAGTGCCCAGGCTGTTTCTGGAAAACCAGTAAGTGCTGGTGGAACTGGAGTGGACTGGAGGAGCTATGGAGGTTGGCAAAGACACGTTCCCACCCACCCCCACCAAAGGTCCCCACTTCAAGGCAACAGCCACAGCCCCCACCTGTTGTTTTCAAGAAATCTGTACTTACTGAGAACCCGTCCGACATTTTTCCTGAAACAAAAAGACAAAGAGACACTTGAGTCATTTTTAACCCACACCAGGGAAAGCCAGGGAATGTTGGGGAGAGCTGCAGTTCCAAGGGGCTGGAACTTGGGAAGTCCCCATTGCATACCTGGAGGCAGAGCCAACAGCTCCAGCCACCTCCCTGCCCTGGCTGAGGGGATGGAAAATGTCACCTTCCTGCCCTGGCTGTGTGTGGGGGACACATACACCAACATCTGCCTGCCCTGGTCATGGGGGGACACACCAACATCCCCTGCCCTGGTCATGGGAGGACACACCAACATCCCCCTGGCCTGGTCGTGGGGGACAGAGCCACCTCCCTGCCCTGGCTGGGATGAGTAACATGGTGTCAGTGCCCACCCGTGTCACGGGGGAGGTTTTGTCCCACACACCAGCCACAGTTCCTCACTTCCCCATCCCCCAGGCACCAACCCAGAGATTATTCCCACTTTAAAAACCCCAAATCAAATCCTGGAGGGGGTGAGGAGGGCAGAGCAGCAAACATCAGGTTGGGGGGGGGGGGTGTTACAAAACCAGCACAGCACGTTGAGGGGACACGCAGCCACCCCACGAGACATGGGACAGACACTTGTGACAGGCCTGGAAAGGGGTGTGAGGAGGGTGGTGAAGGTCCCCTCTGTCCCCCCTCTCCCATCTCTGCTTGTCCCTCGCTGGATAAAAGCTGCTTTAAAGGCTTTTTGAGTCCACACCGAGTCCTTGTGCTGCGGTGGGGCCAGAGGCAGCGCTGCCTGCGGGCAGGAAGAGCCTCTGGATTCCTCCCGTCAAAGGGAACATTCACACACCGGGAGGTGGGGAAAAGGGAAAAAAAAATGAAAAAAGGGAGAGGCAGAAACAGGGAAAGGAAAATTCCAAATTGAAAACAGAGAAGGAAAAGAAATGCTCTTGGGAAGAACAAGGCACGTGCACAGTGGTCAGGGCAGATCCTGCCTCGGGAAAAACCAAAGCCCCCGAGTTTTTACAGCCAACAAATAACCCCTTTCCCTCAAACCTTCCTCCTCCCGGGCCCGCCTGGGTTTTAAGCCACAGAAGCCCCGACTGTTTGCACAGCCCGTATCTCACAAAGCTTTTCTTTCCCTTCCGGCTTTGTCTGGGTGTTCTGAAACCCGTGTTTCTGGAGGGTGAAGCCACGGGTGGGCACAGCTCCTGCCAACCCCCCCGGGCTGCATCCAGCCGGGTCAGGGCTGGTGGAGCCACAGGCTGCTGGTGGATTGTCCTGCTCCAGCCCGGGGGCACAGCT